AAATTTCCGAAATCGATGTGCGCTCTCTCAATTGCAGTCACATCTTGCAACTATTATTTCTGAAACTGATTTTAGAAATGTGAAAGGTCTTTCTGGCTTTTCTCACATCGAAATAAAATATCTCTTTCTCAATTTGACAGCGAAATGCGTGGAAAGCTGGAAATATTGCCACGTCCGACACGCTATTTACATTAGCATTGCATAAACATATACATAACGTTGACGAAGAACAGTCGTTGATGATTTTAATGACTCAAGTATTTGGCTTAATTTCATTTTGCGCATTCATATTGGCGTTAATACCGCGTAATAAAATATACAGTATCAAATAAAAGTTCTTGACCTTGAGATTAGAAAGGCGGATGGATAATGGCTTTGTTTTTCCGTATTTTCGAACAGCGATCACTATTCTCTGTTAATTTCTTAGCTTAACTTTGAATATGCAATAGGTTTGGCAATAGGTAAAAAATGAATTATAGTAATGAGTTTCTATATCTACTCGGACAATTTTTTAGTATCTATACCCATGTACATACATATATTAGTTCTTGAATGTGTGTGCATTTGTAATAATAATAATTTTATAATTAAGCCTCCTTTGTTTGATTTTCACTTCCATGTACGATTATTTAGCGCAATGTTATTAAACTATGTATGTACATATGTAAATGTATTTATGACTCGAGAACTGCTTGCTTTTGGCAGTTTACACTTTTCTTTAATTTGCGAGTTGCATATCGCTTAGGAAAACCAGTTTCAATGTAGAATTGTACGCAACGCTTTCGGAAATGCGTCATGCGAATTGGTAAAAAATAAACAAATATGTATGGTGTGCTCAAAAAAGGGGCATTACTAAAAAAAAACTTTGCCTTTTTATGTATTTAAATGTTCACACTTTCCATATGTATGTATACTAAGTACATAACGTCTCCTGGGTAAAAGATTGTCGTATGTTAATTTCGGCAAGTTGTGGGAAATCGCGATTGATGTTTGGAATGCAATTTCTCAAAACCGCGAAGATAGATCTTCTCCAAAGTCTCTGAAAATGTTACTAGTTCACAAAATTCTTAAATTATTTAATTTTTAATGTTTATTGTTAATTAGTTTTAAGTTTATGAAGGATTTTCTTTAGTAAAATTTTGTCGTAAGCGTCATTTGTCCACAATTTGGCAGCCACTTTGTATGAAATACGACAAAATGTGATCAAAATTTCTACCAAATTAACCACACTTTTTACTCCATATCTCGTAAACTAAAGGAGATATCCAAAAATGGACAACGCCATTTTTAAGATATTGATTAGTTTAATATGGCTGCATCACTAATTAAATTTTTACTAAATTATCGAAAAAATTATAGTCAATATCTCGGAAACTATAGGAGATATCTAAAACCTGATAACACCAATCGAAAGACCTTATTTCAAAATATATAACTGCATCTAGAACTAAAAATCGTAAAAATGGCGCTTACGACAATCTTTTACCCAGGCGACGATAAGCACTTGCTATCGAATGTAATATCTTTATTTAAAAAGTAAACTTTTTTGTTAAAAAACGATTAGTTAAATATAGGCGTTTACAAAAACATATCATCTTATATGTATTTGTATGCATGTATTTTAATATATGCCTACATAAAGAATTCAGTATGGAAATTATGTAAATAAACCAAATTTTTAACGTTGATCAAAAATAGAGGTTTCCTAATTTGGCAACCAAAAATTTTGCAATTTTTGCAATCCAGAAAGTTCAACCAAGAAGTTTCACAACGTGGTTCCTCTTGCCACTACTGTTTTAATTTCTACACATCAAATCTTCTGAAACCCCCAGAGGCAATTTTTCCGATCTTATAAGGAAACAATTGCTCAGTATTGACCTCGAAAATAAATGGCTACTTCTGAGATATGACCAATTTTTTACGTGAAGAGCTTGACTTTCTTCCCTACGAAATTTACAACTTGGACAAAGGCAAGAATGATAAAGCTGCACTTATTATGCACATAGATAGATAGATAGTTAGGTATAGCACTGCGACCAGTAGGTCTATGTACATATACGCATATTTGAATTCTCACATTTTTGAAACTAAACTGATGTTTTTATTTTTTCAACTTTCAGCACCATGTTGGATGTAATGCAACCAGTCAACATGGATTTATCATCCAAAGCCGCCGTCACAAACCACCCCGCCAATAATGAAATCGTAGTGGTACGTGCCAAACCGAAGAAGGTGTTCAAGCCAAAAGCGCGCATCAATCGCATACCTCAATCTTTGCTTGATGATCCAGTGCTGCAGAAGGCCATCGATCGGCTGCCCTCCAACTACAACTTTGAGTTGCACAAAACCATCTGGCGCATACGTGAAATGAAAGCCAAACGAGTAGCGCTCCAGCTGCCTGAGGGTTTGCTCATGTATTCAATGATTATAAGCGATATAATTCAACGCTTTACTGATGCCGATACTGTCATCATGGGCGATGTTACTTATGGCGCCTGTTGCGTCGACGATTACACAGCTAAGGCTTTGGGCGCAGAATTATTGGTGCATTATGGTCACAGCTGTCTCATACCTGTCGATCAGACGAGCGATATTAAAGTGTTGTATGTTTTTGTCGATATCAAAATCGATCCATTACATTTTATCGATTCCGTCAAGTTGAATTTCAAACCATCTGATGGTCAGATAGCACTGGTGAGCACCATACAATTTGTGACTACATTACAAGCAGCATCGACTGAACTGAAGGCAGCTGGTTATGATGTTATTGTGCCGCAAGCGAAACCCTTAAGCCCTGGCGAAATATTGGGTTGCACCTCGCCCGACTTGCCGTCCACCACTAAGCAGCTAATTTATCTCGGTGACGGACGCTTCCATTTAGAGTCAGCCATGATTGCGAATCCCACTTTGAAGGCGTATAAATATGATCCCTATGAAAAGAAATTCACAATCGAAGAGTATGATCATCGTCAGATGCAATCGATACGTTACCGAGAAATCGAACGCGCTAGAGCAGCCAAGAAATTCGGTATAATAGTGGGGACTTTGGGGCGTCAAGGCAGTAGTCGTGTACATCGATTCCTCGAAAAGCGTTTGCACCTCAAAGGTTATGCAACGACAACAATTTTGCTCTCAGAGATCTTTCCACAAAAGTTAGCACTCTTCACCGACATTGACGCATTCGTGCAGATCGCTTGTCCACGTCTCTCGATCGATTGGGGCTCTGCATTCGCTAAACCACTCCTGAATCCATATGAATTGTCTGTTGTGCTTGGTGATGTGGAATTTACACCTCATAACACTGCACCAAAAACTAATGCATATCCCATGGATTTTTATGCAACCGGCAGTCTGGGTCCATGGACACCCAATTTCAAACCGCCAGCAGTGGGGGAATGCGATAATAAACCGTCCGAAGCGTGCTGCGGTCGCTGTGTGCGTGCCGAATTGGAAAAGGATGACAGCGATGCAGCGCGTGCGGCTACAATAGAAGACATTTTGGATTTCAAGAAGGGATAAGCGAACAAATATCGTAGACTACATTTTTAAATATACATAAACAAAAGCAAAGGGGTTAAAAATAAAGAAGCTTAGGTTTAGTTAGTTTAGCACATTATTGTGATGTTATTCTTTTAAATAGGGAAAGAGAGAAGAAACACAATGAGTTAACTGAATCCATAATAATTAGGCTTGCATAAGTGTTGGTAAACCTATAAAGCTACAAACTCCATTTGTAAATGTTTAATTTATCACTGCTGCTATGTTTTAACGAGTTTACTATTTAAATTTTGCTTAATATTTTTATGTTTATACATATTTAACATTTTAGTATGTATTCTTGTACCTTAAGTTACGAATATATTGTAGCATTTTGCTTTAGTTAGCTTCATTTATTTAATGCTTAGTAAGGGTTTTAAATAAAAAGTTTTGGCTTTATGTTTTTTTTTTTAAAATTACACTTAATTTAATAATGTGAATATGCAATAACTGCAATATTAAAAATGCGTGTGTAATTGCAGTGTAGTTCCGAATAAACAAATATGAAATTTATACGTGCATTATTATATTATTCACTTACTAAAATAAACTTGGGATTTGAATTTTAAGAGCCAACATGGCTTGCCAATACGCTAATTGGTTTCAATAAAAGCATCTGACTAATGTAAATGAGGCTATGAAAAACAGCATTTTCGCATGGCAGGAAGCTTCGTGTACATACGTATTTCAAGTGATGCCGGCAAATGGTGGGCTAATTATAACTGCGGCTTTGTTTATCGCTGCAATGTGTGCCAAAAACGAAATTTCGTGTGTGGAAGTTAGCACACTGATGGTCGTCAGTGGGGTTTCCACGAGTCAATTGGGATTGAACGTAAAACGTCACACATGCTGCTGTTTTGCGTCTGCGTTACTCCAACACTGTAAGAGGTCGGCGAAGTTTCCAAAGGCTCATCTGACGGTAGTTTTAGAACCATGTGAAAAGGTCTTTTATACTGCGAGTCCCTCTCCACATGTAAGACAAACATTTGATATACCGGTGCTGATTCTGGATGGAAAGGAGTTCAGTCTAATTCAATATCTATTCAGAAATAAATTTGTTACTCTGGTTTCCCTATCCCGAGGAGGCATGCCATAAGTTCGTAATTTATCGTTCTGGTAGGACTGTAGTCTTGACCTAGTAGTGGCTGGTGTCCATATTGGCGCAGCGTAATTTAAAAGCGATTGCCCTTTCGCCTTGTGTACTGACAGTAACGTGCACACACAAGACGAGGCTGTCAAACATGACGTCTAACATTTTTTGGTTGTTCACGGTGGGAATTGGAGTGAGATTAACTTGAAAAGTCTAGTGTCTATACCGTCTATACGTAATTTCCTAATTAAATCCTTTTCCTATCAGCTGCATTTCCGCTTCCGTTAAACGTTTGACATTTCCGCTATTCCCACGGCCACATTTTTACACACTCAAAATCAATTGGTGCGGTGTGGCAGCACTCCACACTGTTTTTGTCTATCTTTTCCCCCACATTTTTCGCCTTTTTTCTGGTCTTTTGTAATTTTTCGTATTTGTTATTAAATTTTCAGTGCTTAATTAAATCTTAAAACGTCTAGTGCATTAATTTTCATAGTAATATTAGTACCTTAATATAAAAATGCTGAAAAGTAGTAATATAGAGAGGTACATAAATGACTGAAAACAATATAATCAAGCGCAAGGCCTTTCTCAGCTCTTCGCAAAGGGTCGGAAAGCCACAAGTGCTACAATGATAACGAGCCAACGGACAGCAACAAAAAGAGCTGTACAAGTATCTGGGTCATAAACAAATTTATTGACACTGCGCCGTCTATTAACGCTAACATAACACGCAAGATACCTGCGTTCTAATCTTGTATTTTCAATGATAAAAATTGTATTTCAATTCCAGTATTATTAATGCTATAGAAGCGGGAGGTCAGCAACCGAGGCCACAACTGCCGTTAGCACTGAATAATACCAGCTCGAATGAAGCAGATGAAGTGTTCATACCACAAGGGAGCAATACCTACGCTGCATCACTCTCAAACACTTTTGGTAAAAACGATGACAGTGAGGATAGTAATGATAATAATGTGCCAACAACAAAGCAGGCAAGCAGTGAACAAACACCAGATTCTTTGGCCACCAAACAGTTGACCGCAGGTTTATTGCAAATATTCGAGCCACCACTAGCAAAAGCGCGCGGTCAGCTGAAAGAACTCATGTAAGTTGCATGAGATTTGAATCAGTAAAAAACTGTGTACATATGTACTTAGTTCTCTATTGTTTTCGTATAGTGGAAAGCAGAATAAAATCTACATTGATTTATCGGCTGAGAAATACAAATTAGATGATGCTGAAACGACGAGGTTACATGAAATGGTAAGTTTATACCTTGAAGAATAAATTCTATTGTTAAAAATTAAAGCAATTTCCATTGATTCATTTGAATTTCAATTGTTGATCTGATTTGAATATAAAGGATGTCAAGATTACATGTATTAGAATTTCATTAACTTCATTGTGCTACATTAGAATTAAACTTTCTGCTTGAACATTTTATATTTACTAAATTTTCGATGAAGTATCATTAACCACA